ACACACACACACACACACACACACACACACACACACACACACACACACACACACAGTCTCTCCCTCCCTCACTGCGCGCATGTACACACTCACACTGGCCCTGGTGTACCGGTATGGGCCCTGTGCTCCCATGGTCTGCCCACATGGTGCTGGAGGCTGGTGGGCAGGCAGGGAAGCAGTGAAAGCTGCAGCAGGCAGAGGCTTCTGGTTGGGAGAGGAGCAGGGCTAGGAGGGGGCTGGGCTGGGCTGGGCTGGGCTGGCCTTCCTTCTGGGTCCTGCTGCCCCTGGCTCCTGTCATCTTTGACAGGCAGCAAGGAGCAAATAAGTATACATTTTCTAAATTTTTTAATTTTTTTTAGGGGCCCCACAGCCTGGATAGAATTGTCTGGCAGGCCGGATCCAGCCCACAGGCCATATTTTGCCTGCCCCTGTTATAGGATATACCAACTTTGCTATTACTCCAACGAGTAATTTAAAATATCCAAAAACAGCCTCCCCCCAAACCCGATCTTCCTATTACTGAACCAGCCAGGCTGCCTTTATATCCTTTATCAGGGTAAGCAGTTTTCTGCACATAACTGCATGTTTTTCCCCCAACCCATCCCCCCCCTTTCACATTTGACTTTTTATTCTTAAACCAATTCAAATGTGCTTGTAGGAGAGCAGGAAAACAACTTTTTGGTACAAAAGACTACTACTCAGAGAAGGCAGAACACAGCTATGTTAAATAGACAACAAACAAAAATCTACATTATTTTGATCCGTGTGTGCCAGGACTGTTGACCAAGGTTTCACCTCTGGTGGGGTCATGTGTAGTAACAGTGATTGATTGATTGACTGATTTATTATGTGGATAGTAGTGCTCTTAACTGCTATAATACTACTCAGTCCACAGGAGGGGCAAATTTATTACTCCTAATCTGGACTACAAATGAATCAAAAGCCTAAAAATGCAAACTTTGTCATTTTATAAAGGACAATCAATCACTTGAGTCCCATTACCTCATCTTTCAGATTCCTGTGGAAGAAATGTGTTATGTAGGACTTCTTTAGCACTGAGTTCCCTTATATATACACACACCATATTTACTCAAATACAAGATGACCCCCCCCCCCCAGTAATTAGATTCTATATATGGAAAAAATAATTAATTGTATCAAGGCCCTCAATCATCTATTTCCTTCTTCCCAGATTTGTAGCTTTACCCATTTCAAACCTCATAACAGAAGACACATGCACTAATTGTCAACTGGGCTGAAATTATCTGTACAGAGAAGGACAAATGCATAAAACTTTACCTAGCAAACTCAAAGTATTACAGTTCTGCCAGTTTCTTCTCCCATTTAGAATTACTTGATGAGTAGAGGGAGAGTCACTGTTTTAAGGATTTGGTTCTCTTTTAAATACGTGCCTCATTCCAGAAACATTATTAGACTACTAGCGAATTGCAATGATGGGGAGTGGTGGCCGGGAAGGGATGGAGTACTGTGTGCCCACTGCCTCCCAGGACCAGGGGAGGGGGAAAGCTTGCACACAGCAGCCACTGCCACCAGCCTGTGCTGCTGTCACTCTGTGTCCAGCTGCATGCTAACACCCCCACCGGCGATCTGTCTGGGTGTCTGCCTGTGCAGACCATTCTGATCTATTGTTTCAGTAAGCATTGTGATTGCCTGCTGAGACAACCAATCAGAGTGCTCCGAGAATGTTATGGACAGACAGATAGATTAAGTCCTTATATATACAGAATTTAAAAGTGGAGTGGGGTGTAGTAAAAAAAAGACCTCACAATTTCTAACCTGCTTTCACATGGACACTTGTTTAGATGTTGCTTAAACTGACCAAAATACTATACAAAAATCACTGAGTATGTTTTAGAGGTTTCTGTATATGAGCTATTGTTAGGTGCATATCAGAGTAAAGTTAGCTGCATTTATGATAATCCTTGGGGATTAAGGACTCCTGAATTGCCAGTGTATGTAATATGACAGCTTCCTAAAAAACCCTACAGAACAACAGCAGAATGGAAAGGGGTTACTTACTTGCTGAGGTCCACGCAACACTTTGCAAGCAAATATTTACATTGTGGGGTGGTACAGCTGTGTCCCTTCAGAAGCCTGTATGCCTTATATGCCTTTCCTGAGCGATAGTAACACGTTGCCAATAAAAACAGCGCCTCTTCTGAATGTACTAGAAAGAAAGAAAAACAAAACAAACAAAAACATCATTGTCATTTGATCAGTCTGTTTTTTGGTATAAGCAGCAAAAAGTGTAACTCCTGGTGTCAAGGGGGAAAAACCCATGACAGATTCAATTAAGTTTCCTAGCCACAGCGTAAAGGATTTGTGCATTATGTGACCCTATAAATAAGACTTGTCCAAGCTACTATATTCAGAAAAAACACGAATATTTTAATCTACCCTATCTACACAAGTCTTGAAAAGCACCAGAGTGCCATTTTAAGCACAATAAAACAGTAATTCTACTGCAAGTCACAGATCAGGAAGGACTGCATCATATCCTTAAGTGCGCACTATTTTTTTCTAGATGCATCTCAATTTAGGTATTTAAGAGTGCAGTTTTCCTATCAAGCAATAGGAGACACTATAGTAAGGTAGACCGATTTAAAGTCAAAATGACTTAAAAATCACCAGTACACTCACACCACACACTTATTTAGTTATTATATAAATAAAAAAGTAAGCAGGAAACCTGTGTTTAAATAGCTGATTCTGGGGAAATTAAAACAGATGCTAAACAAGATATAGAATAATTACTTCTCACTGGTTAATATAACTACTAACATATGTTGATTTTCAACCAAATATAGCCTGCCTATAATTTGGTCCTTTCTGGTAATAAGGCGGCTGTACAACAGTTAATATATTAAAAGATTGTTTCACGTTCATATGATAGAAAGTGGTAAATTACTATGCATTTAAGTTTTGTTTTCACTTTTAATTTGCATCCAATTATATTTAGATGGAAAATGGTATTCAACTAAAAATATCTAAAATTAGGATTTTTAAAGATCAGAGATATACTAAACAAATAAACAAAAGTTTACTAAAACAAGTTAGTTTTTAAATATTCCCTTTCATGTTTACCATAGTTAATAAATGCAGACCTGAAAAATGGCTATTGTTTCTGGTCATCAAAAGACAGGTGCCCAAGCCCTTAGGCATTTTATTTCCCTCTGAAATCATGGGGAAGTAGTGCCTTTTGAAAATTCCACTGGGTAGCTAAATATTTTTAGAAAACCTGACCTCAGGTCAGTCCAGATTTTAGAATTAGGAGGTAGTATGTACAGCAGAACAAATGCTGGCGTGCATACATGCATGCACATACACACAGCAACACGCTATCCACTGTAACACTGATACACCTTGAATTAGTCTCAGAAGCTAATAGTGTCTTCTCCTCCGCACCTGTCATTCTGTATGCAGTTTAAAAAAAAAAAGCAGTACCCTTTGAGTAAAAAAATTAAAGGAGGGCTCACCATACATAACATTTTAAATTCACTTTGAAATTAGAGAAAGTTTAGGCCTTAACGTGGTTATAATTTTTAATCTGAAGTTCTGACTGATTTTAAAAACAAAAAAGATTAACACACATTTTTCTTTAAAGAGTAAGTCAAAAAACCTTCTGCTAGGGACTGCCTAACTGGCAGCAACTCCAAGGGATCCAGGCTCCCTTTCCAGCTCCATTTTCTGTCTCCACCCCATGGAGCAGTGCAGTGCTGTGTGGCATGGAACAACACACACTACACCCTGGGGCTCCTGCACAGCCTGGAGAGCTGAGGGTAAGGCTAGGGCACTCACATGGCATGCAGCCCAGGGAGCCTGTGGCCTGTGCTAGTGCAGCCCGCAGACTCCAGCCGCTTAGAATTCGGACAGCCCCTATCCCTGAAGTTAACAGAGCAATTGCTTAAAAAGGTTAAGCTGGTAAATGACAGGGCACCCATTGTGAAGTGATATAACTAGTCTCTAGTCTAGCTAAACAGGGTCCCATTATAAACACTTGACAAGTACATGTCCATCAGAAAATTCAAAGTTACCCAGAGAAGTCACTGGGGAACCAATGGAGCTCAAGGACCAGCAATAGCAATTCTGGTGTAAAAACTTTTCAGGCTCCTACCTTGAGGAACAACTCGTACTGTTGGAACAGGCTGAAAAGTGAATGAAGTCAGTTTTACTAGAACAGTTGTGTAGTCTTATTAGCAGGAGCCAAGGCATGGTTCTGCTGCCCAGATGGTGCAGTATGTTTAACTGTAAACTTCCCAAAATCTGAGCTAAAGTAGCTGCTATTATTTATGTCTGCTACATGAAGACATGAAATTGGATCTCTTCTGTAGGGAAGCATCATGTACAGAACTAAACAGAAAACATTTGGGCAAGATTCTAGACAGGGATGTCTACTCAGTCCCAAAGGGACAGGGAAGGAAGGTACTCCCCGTGAATCAGCAGCTAGTATTGCGCTGAGGACAGGCAGCTCTATTTTTCCCTGATATCACTCCTGTCCTTCCACTAATTAAGTCTCTGCAGAAAATCAGTACTTCAAAAGGCACAATTTCCCTTATATTTGTTGGTTATCAGATTCCAACAGCAATTAAGAGTTAAGTACCGAGATAGATAGGCTTAAGCCAGCTCTCTGCAAATTGAAAACATTTAAACCTTAAAGGTACAGCAGATTACTATCCGGCCCTATTCCAACTACAGTTAGAATATCAGCAAACACCCAAGGTTATTGCAGAAATTATCAAAAAATTTAACTCTGTGTTGCTAGGCCATGATCAGTCAGTCCATCCAGCTGTTTTATATGTAGATATTTTAATTTCTAATAATATATAAAATAGTGTATTCAGATCACTCTCTCCATTTGATACATGGCTTTGTACATGTCCTTTAACAGCATCTGAAGTGAGCTTGAAGTTGAAGCCACAGCAAGAGTGGCTCACCTTTAATTCAGGCAATGCGCTAAAAATTAAACAGTTGTGAACCACCTAGATATGAAGGATCCAGACTCTACTGATCCATGAACAACTGATTATATATAGGCATGACAACCATTTTCTATGCATTCCCAAACAACATCACTTCAGCCACGACTTTTACAGCGAACAGTTCTCACCAAGCTGCCCATAAAATGTGGTTACTTTTATTCAGCCACTTTAGAACCAAGCAGTACGAGTAATTTTAAACATGTATTACCCCATGCTTTCTTTCAACACTATAAATTCACTTGCAATTAGGTTGCTTCTTTACCTGTACTGTTAGGTCCCTCTGAACTAAACTTAATCTTTAGTTTTGATTAATCTGAAGTTATGTTATCAGTAACATTTGTCATCCTGCTACTTACCCCCTTTAAGAGATCATAATAAGCATTTTGTTGTAGACCCTTGGGGCATCTCCCTCAGCATTCTGCCTTATTGAAATGGACCATTTATTCCAAAGTCATTTTCTACCTATTGTTTTCTAGGAAGTAATAAAACTAGGAGCTAAAGAGAACATGAGATGTCAGTAATCTTTACTAAGAACACAGTGAAAAATCTTTTGAAAGTCCAAGTAAACTGAGATGAACAGCATCACATTTATCTTTTATTTTGGCACGCCTGGAAAGTGAGACGCATTTGATTTTCTTTTCCTTCTAGTTATTCCCTATCAGGCTCCTCTGGCTGTTTATAATTCTTCTTGAAATTTAAGACAAATAATTAAATCAGAATTTTGATACTGAAATGATGGCAGCTTTTGTAGTTCCTAGTATTAGGTTATAGTAGCAGAGTGCTTAAGGTGTCTTCCTTCAAAATCCTCTTCACAGAGGTTTTTGGCTTCTTTGACCATGGGGTGGTGTTCCAAGAAGATGGACTCCTGGGAAGAGATGGGATCCACTTGATGAAGAGAGGGAAGAGTGTCTTCATACAGGCTTACTAACCTAGCGAGGACGGCTTGAAACTACTTTCACCAAGGGATGGAGGAAAAAACGTGGAATTAAGTAGAGCCTGGGGACCTGGATAGAAGATAAGTAACGGAAAGCAATAACAAAAGCCTTAGCAATGTTCACAGGGAAAGGATAGGACTCTCAGTCAGATACTGAAAATGTTTACACACTAACGTGAGAAATATGGGGAATAAACAGGAAGAATATCAGGTTGTAGTACAAACACAGAATGGATATTAACTGGGATTACAAAGACGCACATGATTGCAGTAATACCATAGATAGAGGTGCACCGATATATCAGTTGCATATCGGATCTACGCTGATAAAAGGAAAGTTAACATCATCAGCAATCGGCTTTTTTTGGCCAGTGTTGCCAATAACGTAACCGATAAATACTGCGAGCATGCACGCAGCCGCAGCATGCATGAGCTGTAGCATGCACGTGACCAGGAATCCAGCTGGGCAGCATGGAGAGCAGCATCGGGCTGATAAGTCTACAGGAGGAAAGGGATGTGGGGGGAGAGGGGCAGATTGCAACCCGCATGGTGAGGGAGGGGGCAGGGGCAGATGCTGCCCAGCCAGGGCAGTGAATCCTACCCTGGGAGCAGGATGGAGCTATAGGCAGCTGGTTGAGGGGGTCACAGGTAGGTGGGGAGGGGAGGCAGCTTCCCACTGCTGTGAGCACCCCTGGGGAAGGCACAGGGGGCATGTGCCTCCCGGATTAGTGGGCAGGATAATGGCAGGCTGCCTGCTGAGGCTCCAGTCTAGGGACAGCGCTGGCCTCTTCCTGGGAGGGCCCTGGGAGCAGGATGGAGCTATAGGCAGCTGGTTGAGGGGGTCACAGGTAGGTGGGGAGGGGAGGCAGCTTCCCACTGCTGTGAGCACCCCTGGGGAAGGCACAGGGGGCATGTGCCTCCCGGATTAGTGGGCAGGATAATGGCAGGCTGCCTGCTGAGGCTCCAGTCTAGGGACAGCGCTGGCCTCTTCCTGGGAGGG